AGCTAACCGGTATCAAATGTCGGGACAGTTTTATGGTGTCATGTCGGACCGTTGTAGCAGACACTTGTTGTGACAGTTGTTGTGACAGTTTACGGAGTCTTGCTGGACCCTTGTAGAAACTAACCGGAATCTATGTCGGGACAGTTTATAGAGTCTTGTCGGACCCGTGGAAAAGTGGCATCCTCAAAAGGTGTGCTCAATTTTGTCAAAAGGCGTGCCATCAAAAGGCGTGCCATCAAAAGACGTGCCATCAAAAGGCGTGTCCACTTTGTCAAAAGATGTGCCATGAAAAGGCGTGCCAGTTTGTCGGGCGGCAAGAGGCGCGCGATGCGCGTGGCTGGCCCTGGCTATTTAAAACAAGGTTGAGGCGAAGGCTGTGCATACGAGTCTGAAACCTCTGAACGCTCAGAGAGCTTGGCTCTGCAAAGCTTGAAACACCCGGAAACCAACCCTGCGCTGAAACACTTAGCAACTCAAAAAATATGGCCTCTTCTTCCCGTCCAGTTACCCAGAACCTGCTCACGCTCTTTCCAGAACTGAACGAGCCCACAAGAGAAATAACTGGTGCGGTGGCCAGTGAACCGCAACCAAACACCTCTAGTTTTGCTCCATTGAACTTTCCGATGCGGTCGGTGGAGCAAAAAATGGCGATGCAAACTGATATTGAGGCTAATCAGTATACTCTGAAGTCATGCGTGGAAACCATGACGGCGGTCACAAATTTGTCGAACCGGCTGCAGAGTAGGACAAATGAGGTGCAGCATTTAAACTCCCAGCTGGCTCTGCTCCAACGCATGTATAAGGATGCGCGAGCAGAGATAAGCGTGCTAAGGGCAGAAAACAAGGACCTGAAGCGGAAGACCACCGTGATGTTCCGATTTGGAGGGCCGCCATATGCGGCAGTGGAGGAGCAGGGAGTAAATGTGCTCGGTGGCGTGGGAAATCCGGAGGCAACATCGTCAAGGGCCGTCCACGACGGAGGCAAGAAGAAGAGACCTGCAGCAGAGTAGTTTTTTTTTTTTTTTTTTTTTTTTTTTTTTTTTTTTTTTTGTGTGTTGTTGTGAAATGGTGATCGGGGTAAGCCCTAACATGAATAAAATGAGTGTGGTAGCAGTTCTGCTACTTCTGCTGGTTTTTTTTTTTTTTATGGTGTTTTGGTGAATAATAAAAAGAACATAAAATAAAAAATAGATAAAAAAAATGTGCGGATGAGTGTGCATGTGGATGGGTGTGCATGTGGGTGTCTGCCGTGTGTGTGTGGATATGTGTTAATCAGCAAGACTTTTATGTTATTTTTTATTTATTTATTTATTTATTTTTTACTTTATTTTTACTCTTTTTTTTTTTTTTCTTATTTCTGCTCCTAAAATAAAATATAAAAAAAAAAAAAAAAAAAAAAAAAAAATAAATGGAGCCGACACTGTGAGAGAGAGAGAGAGTGGGGGGAGTAAAATATTAAAAATGTTTGAGTGGGTGAGATGATGTAGCCATTTTTTTGAATATAATATAATAAAAATATATATATATATATATAAAATAATGAAAGTGGAGAATAAAGGGTGCACCAATAAGCTGTATAGATGCAAAGTGAGGAGAGAGAGTGGGTGTGTGTATGTGCTTTGTGAGAAAAAAAGACAGACCATGCGTATGTGCTGTATAGATGCAGAGAGCCTTTTTTTATTTTTTATTTTTTATTTTTATTCTCCCCCTTCTTTGACCATGCGTGCTCCTTTTTTCTCTGTCGGTTTGGGGGAAAATTCGAAAGCTGCCTGCGTGATACTGGGATCGAACGGCCAGCAACGGGTGATATGATTTGGAGCCTGGAATTTGCATTGTAGCTTCAAGAGATTGCCAAGAGGGACATCAACGATGAAGATGGGAACATCAACGATGAAGATGGGTTTATCAGTCCCTCGGATCCTCTGCTTCAGGCGAGAAAGATCTACAGGGGAGATTTCAAGTGTCCGCCATGGTTTTCGCCTGAAACGAGGAGATTGATTACGAAACTGTTGGATCCGAATCCGAACACTCGAATCAACATCGCGAAGATCATGGATTCGTCGTTCTCTCCGATGGCGAGCCTGTGTTTCAGCAAGAGAGCACGTACGCGACTCGTAGAGGGACTCGGTTGTTGAACATGTCGGATTTTCGAGACGAAGCGCACTCGAATTCGTGGGACCATTCGGCTTTTGTGAGGAGTTATGCTCTGTATTTGGACCAGAAATTGGAGTTGATTTTGTATGAGAGGAAGCAAAGTGGTGGTGCTTCTGGTTCTGGTTCTGGTGGTTCTGAGATTGAGAGGTATGGATCGAGGGAGATCGAGTGTCGTCCAGTAGAGCCGAGGAAGAGTACGGGTTGGGTAACGATGTGGAGTCTATCCCTTTGACTTTCCGTGTGGGTTCGGCTCCTTTGGGCCTTACTCGGATCTGAGTTCGCCGATGGAGTCGGTGATGAGCTCCACCAAGACAGAGAGTGATGAGGACGATTACATAGCTGGGTTGAAAATAAGTTTTATGTCAAAATCGAGGGAGAGAGGATTTAGGCAGTGATGGGAAGATATGTGTAGAAAATAAGCTGAATAGGTTGAGGTCCGGCGGACGGCTAAGGTGAGGTTGCCGTCCGCCGGTGAAGCGAAAATATTAGGTTCTAAACCTGCTCTGATACCATGTTAAAAATGATATATTATTGATTGATATCTAATTGATTGTCGTATATATTGATGTAGATTACAATTACAAGGATTCCTATATATAGAAGAAAATGTGGTAGTAGGTGTAGGAGTGAAGTGGAGGTGGTAGGTGGAGTGTGTGATAGTGGAGGTGGTAGGTGTGGAGTGTGTGATAGTGGAGGTGGTAGGTGGAGATAAATTCTAACACTAATGATCATCCTTCATAAAACATTGGTTGCATTCACAGTTCGAGGTACTGAAAAGCCTAGGAATACTGAAGATTGTCCTTTCAATATTGGTTACATTCATAGTCTTTGAAATTTAGTAAGAAAAATACTAATTTGTACAGACATTTGACAACTGGAAAGAAACAAAATATTGCCACATCCATGATAACAGACATTATGAATTGACAGAAGCATAAAGAAGTCCATCAGCCTGAGTTTTCTAAGAAATTAAATTGCAATTGGGAGCTTAAGACATTTATTTCACAGCTTGAGGTTTGGTAACCATAAGAAGTCTTTTCTAAAATATTGGAAGCCAAAGAAGCACTGTAGCCAGAATAAACATTTTACAGTCTCCAAGCACAATCATCTAAATCTCATTATTTGAGTCAGATTGCCAACCATCCTATTTAAACAACTATAAAGTTAGCGGTTTCTTAACCTGATGAATATGGGTTTTGTTTTTCAAGTGTATGGTACTTCTTAGAGACTTAGCTACCACGCACCATCACAAGTTTGGTGGCAAATTGGTGATAAGAAAGCTACACACTTCAATGAAGCATTAAAACAAAAGTCAAACAAGCAAGTGGTAAAAACTATTGGGGTCATGCATGCCTTCAAATAGGCAAGAGCGTGTTCCATAAATGTAAATTGGGGAATGAGGGGTTGGGGCAGAGCAGATTTGGTGTATTGTCAGGACTTTTCCATACAGGCCCATCAACATTCCTTGCATAATATTCTATTGAGAAAGAATATCTTCTAAAGCACTGCTTTTATATTCGAGTTTTCAACTAGAAATTACTCGCATAATTACTTAAAAACACATCAACAGTGAACAATAAGTAACAGGTATAAGCAAGAGCAAACCCAGGGAAAACAAAAACAAAAACAAAAACAAAAACTTGCCTCTCCAAATCAAAAAGTGTTCCCTCTTCAGTTCCCTGAAATAGATCATCAATAGAAGCAGCTGCCGAACAAAAGAGTGAACAATGATGATTATACAATTCATCGATGAGGGTGATAAATCTACGTGCCTGAAAAGCAAGAACACACCACTGTCAATCCATAGGAAAAACATATACTGAACCTATGCTATTACTTCCTTGTCTCTCTAATCCTAGTATTTATAGCACAAAAGTGATAAAATATTGCAAATTAAAAACATGCATGCATGCGATTGTTCTCCATGTGCGCATCTAACTCTAGTGAACATGGTTAAATTATACAGAGGTCTCTCCATTGATCCCAAGTGGCAACCCAACCCATTTGAATATTCACAATCAATTAGGTGACTGGCTGGAATCCACAAGTATATATACAAAGACCAAACTGTAGACAGATGTGGAGTTGAAACCAAAGGATGCACAGGGGATAGATTATTGTTAAGTGTTAGGGGTAATTTGGTCTTTATGTATTATTCTTATTAGTATAAGTAGTTGTGTGTAGTAGAGATATTGAAGATCGATGTTGGAATGGTCCCCGACAATTTATTTGCACCGAAAGCAATAACCTGAAGATTTGTCAATTTTCCAAAAGTGTCAGGAATACTCCCATGGAAATTATTTATGGTTGCAACAAATTTCTGAAGATATGATAGATTTCCATAAGAAGAAGGGATACCTCCACTAAGTTGATTATGTGAAATATGTATAACCTGAAGTTTTAGTGAAGAGTAGTCAAACTCCAGAGGAAGTTGCCCCACCAATTTGTTGTAAGAAACATCAAAGCGGATGAGCTTAGAGCAACCTGATAAATTGTAAGAAACATCAAAGCGGATCAGCTTCTTAGGCGGTCAAGTTCTGGGGGAATTACCTGACCAAAGCTATTGTTTTGGAGGTGCAATGCTCTGAGAAAGCATAAGTTACCAATGTATGGTGAAATGTTACCTGACAATTTCTGGGACCGAGATGTAACGAGACGACCCTCTGGTGGCGGCAGCGGCCGCATGTGACACCAATCCACTGGCAAAAATGGGTGGAATGGTTCCAGGAAGTGAGAAGATTGAAGGGATCACCAGTTATTTGGGACTTGAATGCAACCAATGCTAGTTGATCTGTTTCATTGCTGCCAGAACCTAGACAGACAAGAAAGAAACAAGAAAACAAATGACCAAGATGCTATTAGACTACCCACTTGGAATGGAGGTTTCATTGGAAGAGTTTGAAGTTTAATCAAATCAATCAAGGATTGCAAAAAACTATATTGACCAACTAGAATGAATTTATTGAAGAGAATTTAAAGGAGATTTTGTATTAAAAACTTTGCAAAATTTCTGTTGTAAAGTAAATTTCTACACTGATGAATGGGTTTTGATCCCTTCAATCATGGAGCGTGCTCTTCAATTCAAGCATTGATTAATTGCTTTTTAGACTTCGAGATTATTTCACCTTCAATATATATAATATGGATCATAGCTGTATGTCAGCAAAGAATGTCTAGGAGGGAGGCTAACTTTCGTAGGTGATAATCTAACAATTAACAACTATTTTTTATTAAGAAAAAAAAAATTATATTTGTAGTTTTAGAAATTGATAAAATATCTTAAACTTTCAGGAAATTATTATTATTATTATTTTTGTTTGTCATGTGCTTTTGCTTTTCCAAAGCTAGAATTCTGAATTAGTCTCTGCTTCTAGGCCTACCACAAGTCCCACTCTCATCAAAGTAGTTCAATTCATGAGGTTTTGTGTGCAGATTGTTCATATTAAAAACAGAGACTGATATGATATTCATAACTATATGGTTTTATTGTGTCTTTTAAAAAATGTATGACAAATATAATTTTAAAAATTGATAATGTCACAAATGGGACCTTTGTAAGTTTGTACCTTGTGTAACACATACATTACAGTGGTGTCCTCTTCTCTGTTTATATAAATGTGAGTTATTCAACTGTAGACTTTACATATATGTGAAAAAGAGGAATATTTTTTTATTTTTTATGAAAAGATGTGCAAAGTAGTAGAAAGG